CTCTTTCTTTTCCTTCATAGAAATCATGAGAGTCTTAATGCATAGACTCAGTTTTTGGGAGAGGAGTTGGGGGGGTGGTCTGTATTTTAATGCAGTCTTGGGCCAGCTGTCTGAACTGAAAATCTGCAACGTGACATTTATTAGCTCCACAAAAGTTTAATATTAATTGGCTTTCCACCAACCACTTTTTGAAACATCATGGAAAGTACTGAGTTTTTATTTATTTATTAAGAATTTTCTTTTGAAAAGGAGATGATCAATTTTAGCTTCATAGATTTTTTTATTTTTTTATTTTTTAGTTATTTCTTTTTTAAAAATATATATTTTATTGATTTTGTACAGAGAGGAAGGGAGAGAGATAGAGAGTTAGAAACATCAATGAGAGAGAGTCATCGATCAGCTGCCTCTTGCACACCCCCCACCGGGGATCTGCCCGCAACCAAGGTACATGCCCTTGACTGGAATCGAATCCGAGACCCTTCAGTCCCCAAGCCGATGCTCTATCCATTGAGCCAAACCGGTCCTGGCAAGATTTTTTAGATATTAGAGGTAATATGAAGTAGTAAATACCTAAAATGCTATACTAATGGGAATGCTGCTATTTTTAGAACTTAGGATATTTTTTTAGATTGTTCTAGAATATTTATATTCTTTTTTTTTTACTTTAAGTTTGATATACTTTCCATAATTTAGTTACAGATATAGATAGGATGTCCTGTCCCTTATCTCTGTCTCTATGGACCTCAGTACTAGAGAATGGCCTTATTTAGGTCCAATTAAAAGGAATATCAATTCTACATCACATTTGCAGAGCCAGGCCTGTTGCTACTAGGATAATTTTAGGTTTCTCCAGACTTCTCATGGTGTTATGATCCTCCGTGTTGCCCCACTCCTACTGCTTTCTGAATTAGTAATTAACGGCTATGCACTGTACACATGTGCAGGCATCCAAAGCCTCTTTCAGGTACTTGATGTTCTGTAGTCTGTGGCCTCCAAGAGAGATACTTTCTGTGCTTTGTTAATGACTAAGCCAAGATAAATAGATGTTCTTGGGGCAAGCAGCTGAGCATTTCGACAGTTTTGACTCCTTTCTTTACTCATTTGCATAGGCTGTTCCCTTCTCATTGTAGATCACAGTGAGATACATCTTAGCTGGTCCCACGGGAGCAGGCAGGCAGGAGATCGGTGTGTGTGCAGAGTCATGCAGTGTGCCCTTGCGCAGTGTGACTGCAGGTCCAGCCTGGTTTCCTTCTTCACAGGGATAAGGCATAGGTGCTTGACAACATTTTCCTTCCCCTGCACTTCTTATAAGTGTGATCTTCATGTTAATAGTTTTTCACCTTGTTTTCATCATCAGTAGTCATTTAGTGAGTGCTACTATGTGTCAGGCACCATTCCAGGGAAGGTTAGTGTTATATCTTTGATCCTATCTTATGTTTTATATTTTCTCTGTCTTGCCTTAACAGTATGGGGTCCCCAAACTCCTATCTTATGTTTTATATTTTCTCTGTCTTGCCTTAACAGTATGGGGTCCCCAAACTCCTGGCCAAGAGCAACTTTGTTCTTCCTTAGAAACTTCACAGATTGAGATTCCGCATCTCAATCCCAGTCAGCAAAGGAAGGAGAGAGGTACACCACTGACCAAAGCATCCTCCTCCAAAGATGCCTTGTCCCTCCTCATCTGCTGTAGCTCAGGAAGGAAGGGTTCCCCTTTGTCATTTTCCTGCCTTGTGGGGCTGGCCTCCTTTCCTTGTACATTATGCCTAAAGGAAACACAGTGCTTTCTAACCACATTGCTGTTGGCATTTAATGCTCTAAATAAGCTAAGATTTTTTAGCCTCCCCTTCTTGCCACTTTCTTTCTTTCCTTCATTTTTTCTTTCCTCCAATATATGAACTAGGCTGACTTTAGATTCTGCTAGAATCAAGTGGTTGCCCGTCAGCATGTGTGACAGGCAAGCGTCTTCACTCTCTGTGAGGGGAACCACCTCAGCATTTTTTATTAATTTATGTTGCTTGGACTGATAATCACAATGGAAGGAAAAGTGGGAACCTGAAAATCCCCTTTCCCTCTGGAGTATTCTGAAGAGGTTGGAGGAAGTTTCTGGAGGAAAGAATTTCACCAGCTTCTGGGCCTGATCCCTGGCCAACTCTCACTTAAAAGTAAGGAAAAAAGTGAGTCATTTCAGTGGCAGATAAATGAAATGATCAGTGCATGATCTACACCAACAAGCTTGTTTGGCCTCTATGGAAGGAAGGAGTAAAATGGCTTCTTTTTACAGTATAATGTCCATTTCCATTGTCTTTCCCTTTAAATTACTGTGCCAATACCTGTCTGATTTTGGAGGTGCTTGGGAACTTTAAACAACTACCTCAGTCCTTCCTCAGAGCACAGTACCACATCCAGGGAAACGAGGACAGAGACAGAGGGAACAATTGAGGACCACAGAGCCAGACATGAAGGAAGAAGAAAATGCTGGTGCGCTTTCTTCTGGCAACTAATCCTTAACTTTTATCCTTGGTGCATTAAAGCCTGTGCAAACTCATATGAAGTGTTCCCATCTGGACAAGCAGCGATAAAACATGTCTTCTTCAAGGTCCAAAGGACCGTTTGTTCGGAAATGTAATGATTGACTCAAATCTGGAAAAATATATGTATGGGAACTAAGTAGGGAATTTTTTTTTTTTTTTTTTTCTAGCCTCTCATAAAAGTAGGAGACAGGAAGTGGAATTCTCTCACTTGGGTCTTCATGGCAGACAACAGGTTTCATGCTGAGTTTGCATCAGCAGGAATGGGTTTGTTGAGAGCTTGTTTATGGTCTCCTCAGAGGAACTAGAGAAATAGAATTTCAGCTGAAATTTTCTGAACAATACCCAGACTACATCATACAACTGGCCCAGTGAGGTCTGGTGCCACCTCTGCCACCATCTGCACCTGCCAAACAGGTGCTTTCTACCCATTCTACTCTTCCCATGTTCTGTTTCCAAATCTACCTGGTGTGAGTTTGTCAGATGATGAAACCCAGCCCTGAGTCTGCACTCTAAAAGCAAAGGAGGTTGAGAAATGTAGTTGGTGTGGACTTCGTATTGAGAAAATGGGGTTCATTATGTAAGGGAGCATCAAAATGTGGAGCTGTGTCCTGGCTGGATTGGCTCAGTTGGAGCTTTGTGCCATGCACTAAAAGTTTGCAGGTTCAATTACCAGTCTGGGCAAAAACCTAGGATTTAGGTTCAGTCCCCAGTTGTGATGTGTAAGGGAGGCAACCAATCAATGATATTCATTTTCTCTCTTCTTCCTTCTTCTTTCTCCTCCTCCTCCTCCTCTTCCTCCACCTCCTCCTCCTCCTTTTCCTCCTCCTCCTCCTCCTCCTCCTCCTCCTCCTCCTCCTCCTCCTCCTCTTTTTCCCCTCTCCCCTCTCCCCTCTCCCTTCTCCCCTCTCCCCTCTCCCCTCTCCCCTCTCTGTTGGGTATTAACTGTGAACCATCATATCATGGTTTGATTCAGTGGGGGCACATGCCCAGTTTGAGCGCTTGATCCCCAGTTGCGGGGAGTGGGGGTACAAGAGGAGGCCAATCAGTGATTCGCTCTTCTCGTTGATGTTTCTATCTTTCCCTTTTTCTCTGAAATCAATACAAATATATATAGAGAGATTTTTTTTTTTAAATGTGAAACTGTGACAGGGTTTGGGGCAGCCACAAATTTAGATGTTCCTTATAAGACTACATTAGTAAGTATAGCATAGATATTTCTAATGACAGGAGTCAATAGTGAAATTTTAATAAACAACTGCAAACTTTTCAAAAATCCTAGAAGACATTATTTTATGACTTTGTCTGCTGAGGGAACTATATTGTCTAAACCCGGCTAGCAAGCCACATGCGGCTCTTTGGCCCCTTGAGTGTGGCTCTTCCACAGAACACCACAGCCTCGACGAGTCTATTTTGAAGAAGTAGCATTAGAAGAAGTTTGAGTTTAAAAAATTTGGCTCTCAAAAGCAATTTCAATCGTTGTACTGTTGATATTTGGCTCTGTTGACTAATGAGTTTGCTGACCACTGGTCTAAACTATTCTACATGCTTGTCCTTCATTTACTCTCTTACATTGGTTTTTGTTCCAGTTTCTGATGTGTTCCCACTCACTTATTTCTAAAGATACAGTGGCAAGAGTCCAGGAGGTTAGGCTACCAGGAGAGGAAGCTTAAAAATGGTCCATCTACGTTTTTATGAAGCCAAGGTTGCTGAAACATTTACACTTTATATTTTCACTTGACACTGCAAACCTTTTAAACTATACTTTAAGTCCCTCTGAAGAAGAAACAACTAAAATTTAATAAAACCGAAATTTAACCTGGTTTTTATGCAGCTTGAATTTACATAAAAATTCTTACAGAGTTTTAATAAACTTTTATATGAAGTTTCCTTCTTTTTTTTTTTTTTTCCAAACTGTTTATTCTTTTTAAAAAACCTATTAGTTTAGTAAATAAGTTTTGCTTTTCAGGAAAGGAGACATAATAAATCACATTATTTCCCATGTATAGAAACTCCTTCTATCAGGTAGGTACATCAGTGAAATTGAAATATCCTCATACTAAATTTGATAAAGAAACTGTACCATAATGTTACAATTTTTAGATATCATATTAAGGTTTTTACTACCAATGGATCCTAAACAAAATTGATAAAAATGTGGAACATATAAACAAGCATCTGTGGTGAGGGCTCTGGAATTTGTACCACCTACTGGGAAGCACCCAGTTATTTCACTTTTTGATATCCCCCTGTCCACAAGCTGTTTCCAGACCGGAGCATGAACGTTTGTACACACAGTCATCATGGAAAATAATCAGGAACCTTAATTAAAGAGTTTTTCCCAGTTCCTTGGCAACAAAAGATGAGTGAAAAACTTCTCCTTTTTATTTTTTTGACCTTAGTAAATAGTTCCTTCAAATATTTTTTTATACTGCATATCATCTTTTAAATTTATTTTTTATCATTCTGCAGGGGGTTAAATACCTGTGTATTCCAGCAGCGGATTCACCATCTCAAAACCTGTAAGTTGCTGTTTTTTTATGCATTATTTGGAGATATTAAAAATGACTAAAGAAATGCAACATCAAATAAGGAAAGGAGAGTAGAGTCTTGGGGCCACGGGACCTTGCTGCTGTGCACAGCTGCTGCCTCATCAGAGGGGATGGGAGGCCCACGCAGGTGTGACCTGCCCAGTGGGGCAGCCTGGAGCCAGAGGCTTGCTTTGTTTGATGGTGGTCTGTACAATAACAGTATGTAAGAAGAGTCTGGTTTTTAAAAAGAGGACCTCATATCAGACCGTTAACATGCTCAACCTTTCTCTAGCAGCAAACCCTTCCTGAAGCTGTGGGTTTTGTGTAAAGAGTGCATCCAATAGAAATAGACTGTAAGCACAATGCAGTCACACTTGTAATTTTGAATTTGCTGGGAGGCATATTAAAAAAGTAAAAATAGATCAGTGACAAGAATTTTAGTAATGTTTTGTTTACAAAAGTATATCTAAAATCCTTCCATTTCAACCATTTGCTAAGTACTTTTTAAATGAGATATTTTCCTTTTTTTTTTTTTATACTAAGTCTTCAAAATCAAGCAGGCTTTCTTTACGTTAACTGCACATCTCAATTCAGATCAGGTTTATGTCAAGTATTCCACAGCCACATGTGGTTGGTGGCCACTCTGTGGCACAGTGTATTTGTAAAGTCTGTTTGAGTCCAGTGAACAGGTCTTCCTGGTTTAGGAAAGTCCAGTCCTCTGTTTCTTCACAGTTGAATACATTTTTGACACAGTTTGTCTCTATAAAGAGAAATGTGTCTTTGCTATCTTTTCAGATAACAGCAATCGCATGGAGACCCGTAGGAGCAGGCTTTGGTAGAATGGAGGACAGGTCTCTGGAGACCTTATGCAGTTATGACTCTAACATTCACACTCTTTAGTTTCCAGAAGTGATCCAGAAAGGCCATAAAATGGAGTAAAGTCTTACTGAAACATGGATTTGAACCTTGCAGGCTGAGAATATGGGAGCCAAAGTAAAGTACTTAACCTTCAGTGCACTCACAGACCCCAACCTCTGCCTCTGAGGCTCGCCTTCTGCTGTTATTGGAGGTCAGATACAATAACCCTCCTAGAATTACATATTATTTCTTTTCATCAGAAAAGTTGAAAGCTACGATGGTGTTTGTGAATTTGGGATTCCATAGGCTTGTCGGGACACATCCCTTGTGATTCTCACATTCTGTTGCCTGCAAATCCTACACATCAGAAGTACAGATTGCAGAACCCTACGTAGGATCCCCAAGTATCTAGCCTCTATAAAAGTGGAACACTAACCAACCTTGATTTTTCACTGCTACAGAGAAGAGAAATCACAGGCTATGCAATAATTTTGTGCAGTCTACCTGTTTGAGAAAAAAAAATGGGTCTAGACGCAGATGGATTGATGTGGGGAAGGATGAGGGGGATAGGTAGGGTACAGGTGGTATAGGGTTAGGTCAGGAAAGGGCAGGAGAAAATTGGAAGTGGGACAAATACATTCTACCCAGGGCTCATGTTTTCAAAGTGACTCTCCATATTTCCCAGGAAAGTCAAACTTTAAGATTGGTGGAGGAAGGATTTTACTAAGACCACTAGGAAAATAGTAGTAGCTTAGATCTGGAGGGAGGAGAAGATACTTTAGAGAACTTCCTTGGTTACGAGTCGTGCCAAGAAACAGAAGTGGTTGGGAGGGCATGGTATGTACGGAAGGAAATGAGCCACTGCCTTTCTCTGAGCCCACAGCAATCTTCTGTATTTTGGTGGAGTATTTTTAGAATGGTTGCTTTGCTCTTATCTCAAACTGAGGTTCTGACATACTGTTGAATTTGTCAATACCTAATTGGCTCTCTGACTCTTTGAAAGAATCAAACTGTAGCACATCTGGGCATTTGCTGTTAGGACACATCATCACGTGTACTTTGTGCTGCCCCTCAGGGTTCTCAGTGCAGCTACAAGTCAATCGCTGGGCTTGCCAGGATGGGACCCTGACTTTCCACGTGAAGATAGAGTAATGAGTATCCTGTGCTATGTGGACAAGTAAGCAGTAGACCCAAAATTAGAGGTCTCAACTTTAAAACAAGTTTCAGATACCTTGGGCAAATCAGTTCTTTCATCTTAAAAAGGCCTGCCTTTAGAATTTTTGGAGGTTAGATCATATATGTGAAAGTGTTTTCTATGAACTCTAAGAACTTTTGAAAATAAGAGGATATTACTGTGTCTTGGGAATTATAGAAAAGGTGCTTGAAAATAAGTTTCAGTGTTTAGGCGGCCTGCTTCATTTCCTTGGAAGGTGTGCTTGTGGAAAGGTCAGGTAATAGGAGCAGGCAGCAGCCGCTTCTGGCAAAATTAGCCCAGTCACCATCACCGTGGAGCCAGAGGACTAACTCATAAGATTTGAATTGGGTCTTATCTATGCCAGATAGGTACAATGATGTTGTTAAATATGTGTGGTTTACCTCTTTAACCCTCTCCTTTTATTTGGATGAAAGCATAGTGTGGGAGAGGAGTTTGCATTTGGGAGTTATTGCAGCATCCATGTTTGGGGCAAATGATGCTAGTGTAGAGAATGCACATTGCTGCTATTGGACTGAAGTCTTACCAGAGCACAACCTCTGTTGCAATTGAAAAACTGAGGCCAGATCATAGTTCACTAAAAGACAGAAAAATTGGCACTCTACTTCTGGGAGTTAGGCACACAGGCATTTGTGTGGGTCTTTACGGAAACTTATTTTGAAATCCTTCATAATACCAACGCTTATGCATAACGTTTTGGGCATGGTTCTATAAGTTTTTCTTGCTCTACTGAAATTAGATGGAGATTATGGAGTTAAGCTGAACTTTGAGCATGCTTTGTATGTTAAGACAGCCTATGAAATAGCTTTTCTCTTTACCTGTTAGAAATGTTTTATTGGAAAGCATCGCATGCTTTCTAAACCAGTAGTCGCCAGACTTTTGGACTTCACAGGCCACCAGTGGTCCTCGGACCACCACCTGTTGGTGACCGCTGTTCTAAATGGAAGCGTGCTTCAGAATATAAGCAGACTACTAACTTACTCTTGCAGGCAGAGCATTTGACTCTGTCTATATGACATATCTCATTTTATGTAGCCTGTAAATATTAGGAACATTTGAAGGATGGAATGAACCTTCATTTTTGTACGCTCAACCATTGTGGGAGGTCAAAAGACAAATAATCTTAATGCTCTTGCTAAAAAAGAGAGAGGGATTGTGTCTCTGGGTAACCCAATTAGAACTGGTAGTTCTTTAGTCCAGCCACTTGTAATTTATGATGCCTGTGAGTTCCTATATTTTTTTTCTTTCTATAGAGGATATAATAATAATAATAATAATAATAATAATAATGCCTAATGACCAAGATTGGTAAGGTTTTAAAATATTTCAATTGATTTTAGAGAAAGGGACAGGGAGAGGAGGGAGAGAGAGAGAATCATCAGTGTAAGAGAGAGAAATATTCTTTGACTGCCTCTTAGACATGACCCAACTGGGGATCGAACCTGTTGCCCTCACCAGGAATTGAATTGGTGACTTTGGGCGCGTAGAACAATGCTCAACCAACTGAGCCATACCAGCCAAGGTGAGAGTCCCTATATTTAATGACAAAATAAATTCTAGAAAACTGTATTGCTTATTGTTTTAAACTTATATTTTAAAAATTATTTCCAACTTTGAATATAATTTAAGGTTTTATATCCTAAATCTTTACCCACAGATTTCTATACAAACCACAGGAATTCTTCTGCTAATTTTTATCTTTTGAAACATTGCTGTCACTTGGCATTCAGTTGCTGCAAATCTGCTGCTCAGAAAGGTCAATTCTCTGTCTTGGCCTCAGTACTCACAGACTCCCCATCTGATCTTCCAGGAACTTGATATGCAGAAAACTGGTTTGAGATAATATTAGCACATTAAGATTTTAGCTGTTTCCCCAACCACCTTTCCTTGCAAAGTCAAAGCACATGAAAATTCAGATTCTCATGGTAGCAATAACCCCCCAGACCCAGACTGTCTTCTTTGCTTGACTTGTTAGGGACGTCCTGGAGTTTGTATCAAATGCACAGCTGCATGTTCTCCAAGTGGCTGGTGGAGATGGATTGGTGGATTAGGTTTTGGAAATACTTGCTTTTGCTTTCTCTCTGTGCTTTCCTAGGGAAGCTGTTTTAACCTTACTTCTCTCATTGTAAAATAACTATCTCACACAATTTTTATAGTATTAGGTTAGATAAGTAAAAGTGTTTATGAACACTAAGCATCTGCAAAAATAAGGTTTTGTTTTCTGTATATTTAAATAAGGAGTGTTAATGTAATTTGAAAGTGAGTGGTTAGAAGTATAGCAGCTCAATTTTGTTCATTCTTATTTTAATGTTTAAGTTGGCATTTTATATGTAGACATCATCTACACTAATAAAAGAGAAACATGCAAATTGACCATCTCTCTGCTATACCCAACAGCCAATCAGAAGTGAGTTTGCAAATTAACGCAACAAAGATAGCAGCTGTCATAGAGCTGGAGTGAGCAGGAGGCTTGGGTTCCCCCTGCTAAGCTTCCCGCCCACCTTGGCCTGAGCTCAAGGAGGGGCTGGGAGCCTGGATCACTAGGGGCATGGCCAGCCAGAAAATGACCCTCAGCCCCCTACCCAGGCTGGCCACACCCCCATGGAGTAAGAGTTCCTGCTGGGGGGCATGGCCAGCCTGTAAACAGCCATCAGCTCCTCACCCAGGCTGGCCAGGCACCCTAGTGGGGATTCCCACCCTGAAGCGGGTATGGCCAGCCTGAAAATGGCCCTCAGCTCCTCACCCAGGCTTTCCACGCCCCCATAGGGTGAAGGTCCCTGCTGGAGGGGTCTTGACTAGCCTGAAAACAGCCATAATCCCTTCACCCAGGCTGGCCAGGCACCCCAATGGGGACCCCCAGCCTGAGGGAGGTGTAGCCAGCCTGAAAATGGCCCTCAGCCCTTACCCAGGCTGGCCACAC